AACAATTGTAAGTTGTACATATAGTATGAATCACTAAAGCACACATAACTAGCCTGATAGAGGATTTTAAAAAAATATATATATATAGCAAAACTATATCTTATATTGACTTATTCATTGATACTTTAGAATTTTCAAATAAGTTTTAGTCTCTAAGAGTAATTCTAAAATAATACTTTGCTTTATAATAAGCTTTGAATAAATATTTTTCTAAATTATGCATTATTTTTATTAGATTGTTACTATTTATTAATCTTCAAGAAACTAATTTTGAGAAACTATAAAAATAAAAAGAAAAAAAAAAGAAAGGCAATATCTAAAATTATACAAATGTACTTACATAAAAAGAAAGGAAAAAAATAAAATAAAAGTGTATTCTATTTTCAAAGGATTTCTACTAGAAATTTCCTCTTATTTGAAGCCAACTCTTTTGAAATATTATTATTCTTCTTGACTGTCTGAGGAACCTATTTATTCATGATTTTGATTATCTGAGATACTTATTGCCTATTTACTGTAAATTCAATATTCTATTTGATATTGATTTTGTTTTCATTTGTTTGATCAGATAATTTATGATAAATCCCAGATTCTTATGTAACTTTGTAATTATACTATGTAACTCCCAATATTTTTAGTAGCCATGTCTACTTAAAGGAATTTTACTGGTAATCTTCTTCTATTACTTAAAAATCAGATTCACAATAAACTTTTTACTTTGCAATAGATAGAATGGTCTTATTATACAATATCTGGAGAAATGAATTCTCAATCCTAGAGAAGGGCAGTAACTCACAATCTTCTACTTCTCAGTTTTAATGCTTGACTGGTATAAGGAAATAGTCTTCTTCATATGATATACTTTCCCTTTACAAAGAAAACTTTTTGATACTTAGCACCATTTTTGTGATGCTCAAAATAAGGATCTATTATATTATTCATCCACTTCTATTCTTTGCACCTTCTGCTTCTCATGCCAATTTCGAAAATAAATCTTAGGAAAATATCCTGTACCAGAAATTGCTCGTACTCCACATATCCCACAAGGAATTTTCGCTATATTCTTATAATATAATTCCCAGTGCAACGAACACCTTATGTCTCACCAACAACTTTATCCATAGATCGAAACCTCTCTTAATTTATGGACAGGTTAAATTCCACATGCAAAGTGTTTAATATATAACATATAAAATTTATTTCAATTTTTTGTGAATATACAGTAATATAATTTAAATATTTTCGGATTAAAATAATGTATTATATTTGGAGTATAGCTCGATTATATCAAAAAGTAATGAAGGCTGGATTACGAGCCACAAAAGCAAACCAAGAAAATATTTCATGTTGGTATCATTACGCTAAAGGGTGTAAAAAATTATGGAAAATGATAGTAGACTTCACGTATAGCAGGTCACGAGTTGGAGTCGGAAAGATTAAACGTATCAGATCATTTAGTGCAGAGCCATTTCAAAGATCGAAAACATTGATCCGCAACGTATGCGATGATAGATTACAGTATATGATAGTTTTTTCAAACAAATAACCATGCAGTATGATAGTTTAAACATTTCGTGTCTAAGAAACAATTATTCTTGTGAGCTAAATAATAGAAATAAGTAAAGTTTTCATAATATAGAGCAGAATGCGTGACGTACTATTTAGATAAATTTGAATCCTTTAAATCGTGAATACTTCTGAATACTTTATTAAGAAGTAAATTAAACGTATACGTAGTTAAAGTCAGATCACGTGTCTAATATTTTAATTTTTTCTAATGTTCCGCATTTAAAATTGATATCAGCTAACTGTGTTCAATAAAGATTCTTTTGAAACAATTAAATATTCATACATACAGTACTATGTCAGTGATTTAAAATAAAATGCATGGGAACCCTGTCGCGAATTCGCGCCGTTAATGTAACGAACCCCGGATCGAACACCGAAACAATTCTCACATGCAATGACAAAGCACCACAATCAAATTTGCGTCATTAATGTGACGATAATCTAATACATCTCACGACGATATATTTACAATATAAACTTGTGATTAAATACAGTATTATTATTGTCTAAATCAAACTTAAATTCTTATGTGATCAAATGGTCGATATCAAGCCTCCCTTAGTGAGCACTTTCCATATTTAGCTTGGTATTCTATTTTCGGTTTCGCACGCAGTAACGGTAAAGTTACATAGGCAGATAAGAACAATCCTCCGGTAAAAAAAATCTTATATTGGAGCCAACGCATTTAAAGGCTGTAGGTAAAGCCCGAGATCTTTATATACAGCTAACATTTAGTGATGTTTGAAATTTATACTAATTCCTCTTCTTCTTCAGTATACTCTATAAAAAAATAATGCACTCTGGAAGGAATGGAGGCAACTGATGAAGAAAAGAGATGGTGGTTTGAAGGAATTCGTCCGTGCATTAACAATGAAAGGTAGTTGATTGATGATCACTATATTCGTTTCTATGTACTAATGTTAATTTTTCTTATTAGACTTCCTCTAGTCTTGGTGAGAAATGTACCATTCAAGGAGTTTGCCGAGAAATCTGAAAAGGCTAAAGCTAAAAGATTTTGGGACCATGATAAGGGCACTGTGATGATTATCGAATTACCATATGGTGACCATGAGGGCGCAATTTGTGAATTCATTAGTCGATTTCGCAATCACTTCAATAATATGGCATCTCAAGATGACATTAGATGCTGGGGAGCGAAAAGTAAGTTCAAGTAATTTATTAGTGCATGTATCTTATTATGCCGAACTTAGTTCTGTTGTATTCAGGTTTATACGATCTGGCGACAGGTGAATACAAAGAACCCGATGCCTGTTTTGTGCCTCGACGTCTGTTAAATCTGCCAAACCCTGTTCTTAATCCATGCGACAATGGCGTATGTAGTTTGAATATCATTGCTTGGATACGAAAATATGTGTTCAGTGTTAATTTATAAACTTAGGGGAATCCGTGGCCAACTATTATCCTCGAGGTTGCTTCCTTTGAAATACTTGATCATGTAAAGAATAAGGTCAATAACTTTTGGTTAATCCCAAACCGTTGCGAAGATGTGATTGTTATCAAGTTAGACAATTGGAATAATAAGCGCCGTGATCGGAATGGACACCCTTTGCGTCGTATGCGGGTTCAGTATTGTCCTGTGATATTTGTGATTTTTCTCGTTCTTTTCATTCGCCTCATCACTCGTATTTCTATAGTGCCTAAGATTCTGTCGACGAGCGACTCTTCAACAAAACCAAAACGCAACGACATTTAGTCCAATCCAGGATGTAAATATCATGGAATTTTGCAATTGACCTATTTTTTTACTCATTTCTCACATATTTGAAATGGTAGATCGAGTTCGGGTCTTTCCACGCCAACGAAAGGATTGGTAATTTTTGCTCGGGCCCGCGAATGAAATGGCTTACAATCGATCGTGATTGCATCTATGTAGGATGTGTTCCTCCTCTTCCTCCTCTTCAGGTCCTTCCACAAACTTCAGATCCTGGGGTTGCTATCGATTTGTATGATATACAACAGGCAGTTTTTGATGCCATGGATAAGAATTGATGGAAGAAAGTGAGGCTATGTGGTTTGATTGTGCACTATTTAAATTAATTCGATGAGTGTTATAATGCAAACTCTAAGTGAATAGTAAATAATTACCGAATAAAATGTCAAGTAATAGATAGCAATCCGAATACAAAATGTCTGTCATTTTAAACTACGTACGTAACAATATTTGTCACATAACGAACTGTTCGTCTATCTTAATGCATTACAGTGACACCATGTGATTTTCGCGTACGTATATCAATACTCGATCACAACCCACAATTGGCTTCATTAAAAAAACGTGAGATATACGTAGTCACGTAGTAAATTTTTATTTAAAGTTAGACATCAACTAAAGAATATTTTCAAAACGTGACCAATAAAAATTCTTTTCCGGAAATTTGTAATAGGGAAATATAAATCATTAAACATGAAAACTCAAAGAGACTAATCTAAAGACCTATCCGAATTAGATTTATTAAAACAAAGAATCATTGATCTTGAGGCTGAAGCAGATTATTGAGGGGAATATGTTAGAGTTGTGGAACTAGAGCAAAAGAATATAGAAATTGAATCCAGGCTCGCTATACTAGAACAGGGTGGGAAAAGTATTTCTACGGTTGTTTTTCACTCGCCAGTAAATTCTAATGATACTCCGGCATCTAATAAACCTGATAATACTTCAAATTTTAATATTACTCCTGAACCAATAGTACATTCTTTAACTGATTGTGCCTGAAAGTTAACGAACTCTTTCTCAGTTCTTCCAATCTGGAGCCACCCATATTTTGCAATAGCTAAATTGGCTTCCTTAACCAATGCATTTTCATCATCAATAGGTTGGGATTCTTGTTTTATTGGTTCCTCTGGAGAAAAGGTTCGTGGCAGGATTTCAGAATAATTCTCTTTAGGTTGAACCAGATAATCATCTAGATTTTTAAATCCGTTTTTAACAGAAGAAATAGCAGGTCTTTTAATACGACCTTCCTTTGCTTATCCTAGAAGCTGAAGATTAAAATGTGTTTTGGGAAGGCCAATATCAATAAATTTTGAATAAGGTTTCCCAACTAATTCCATAACTTTTTCTGTGAATCCCTTAAGTTCTCTATAATCTATGAATCAGGCACGAGGATAAATAATATGCTAACTACATTTCTCAGCATTTGACGAACTAGCTAAAGCAAAAGAATTTAAGAAAGGCATACAATCGGGAATAAGGCTTAATGCATTTGCACAAGCGACTAAAATTCGAGATAACAAATCTTCTCGTGTAATTTTTTTATCGTCTAAGGAAGGCACTTTGGGATTTGTAGGATTAGGCTTTTGCCTTGTATCAATATCAATAATCAAATGAAGAGGCTGGTGACCATCAATACATTTGTGAGTATCAGGTATTCTATAAACTTCAGAGGGGTGATTAACCAATGCAAGCTTTTCTTTTATTCGAATTATATACTGAGAATAAATATCTTCGGGCTGGTATGCGTCTAAAAGTGTAGTGTCGTTTCTATTAGAAGAGCTGGTATGACCATTGGATGCAAGCCAGTATTTATAATATGTATGTTCTCTATGGCCAGGTTTATAGTCAAGATCCGTTAAACCCATAAAAA